TACTGATGAATGGCTAGCAAAAATTATAGAATGGAATAAATATTTCGAAATATATCACGATGAATCGTATAAAAAAGGCCCCGGAGTTGTACAGAATTAGTCAGTGGAAACAGTTTTACCTTTTACTTTAATAAAAGATTTTTGTAAATTAAGAACTATAATAAGAATTAATTATAGAAATCTTAAACAAGAAAACTATAAAATATTGAAAAGAATGCCTTCTGAAAATGGTGATTGTCGAAAAAAAATTAAAAAGTTAAGTAAGATAATCACATAATAAAAAATATAGCTCATTAATTTGTTAAATAAATATTAGACAAAAGACTTGTAAATTTATTGACGTACAGTACACTTATTAAATCCGAAAATTCTACAGTAGTTTACATTTAGTAGTAATTTAATAATTAATTAAGAAATTATTTAATATTTTATCGTATTTTGTTATTTGAAAGATCTGTCATGTTGAAGTAGAGGGCTTGCTGTGACGTCACATAGATCCAAGGTCACGCTAACAAATATACGGGATCTGGCTATCCTCGTAGTTTAAAGTCCTTGGTCCTGACTGACTGAGTCACTGATTGATTGATTCATCATCACCCAGAGCAAACCGCTGAACCTAAAGAGGTGAAATTTGGTACACACTTAGGGTACGTCATGAAAACGCACACTAAGAAGGATTTTTCGAAATTCTCACGCGGGCGGGAGAGGTTTTAGTCTTCATCGAGTACTTAGGTGTATTAAATTAATAACATTTAAGACATTGTTATAAATATTTTTATGTATTTCGATTTTAAAAATGTTCGAACCGTTTTAAATTCGAATTTCTTATTGCGTGTTGGCTCGATTATAGAACGATTGTAAACGTTCCAGAAAATTGATCAAATTGATAATAGTTTGTTTGATTCTCGGCAATTTTCATCATTCTCAGCGGTAGGTGTTATATAACAATTACTATGGTTGTTGAAATACTGAATATAAATGGGGTTTGCTTGCAAAATCCGCGCGGGCAAAGCCGCTGGTAACAGCTAGTAACTAATATTCATGTTTTGTTCTATATCTAACTTTATATAATAATACTCCACTCCTTTATCGAGTGTCGATATTTGTATAAATTATATAAATATGAAGTGGTCACAAATCGCGTACTTTGTAATTGTTAAAACATTGTGTCTGTATCCCCTTCTATCTTAGCGCCGCGATTCTTCACTCAGGACTTCAGGCGGCCTTAGTTTATGTTACTAACATCTGCAAGCCAACGTCGGGATATGCTCTATTCTGTACAGTTTTATTTTGGCTAATTGTAAAGGGCATATATATGTTCAACCCACTCTAAAGTGTATACAGGTAGGCCTCCTACAACGCGGTAGATACGTCCCTTGAAAATACCGCGTTGTGGGAAATAGCGTTATAGGAGACACCAACTCAATACAAAAGCTGGGATTCGGTTCTAAAAAGAGAAAAACTTGGCGTTTGAATGGCGTTTTTTGAATTTTTCAAACCAGCCATTGGCAGCCACGAATTTAACACCGGTTTCATCAGCTGACCAATGGCGTAGCGTAATGGGGGCGGCAAAATTTCACAATAAATAATAATAATATCTTGTAAAAATTTGAACCATTTCATTTCATATTTTTTGTCGCACCTACGATTCGGACCGATTGAAATGAGCACGGAATTGTTCATTATTTATTCTGTGACGAAACTGAATTTTAGTCTTTTAAAATTGAGATACCTAAATAAGGGGCCAGCGAAATTTTCCTCCGCCCCGGGCGGCTGACACCCACGCTACGCCATTGCAGTTAACGACCGTCCCATTTGTTTTAAATAATCAAATATTTTTAAGGCTTTGTGTTTAAGTGCGGTTTTATTTAAAGGCAACCGTTTCTTGTTCATATCTTCTACCCATAATATTAGCGCTTGTTCCATTTTTCCCATTATAGGTGCTCTCGGGCTAGCAACATTTTTCGCAAGAATAGATGATCCGGATGCGACCAAATTTCTAATCTTTTCTCCCGATTGCTTAATCGGCCGAATAGTCGACTCGTTTAAATTGAAACGCCTACTAATATCAGCTATCCGCTCGATTTTTAATTCGATCCAAAATTTCTATCTTTGAAGAGTTATAAATTTCCTTTATAACGAAGGTCCTTTCTTTTCATTCGGCATTGTTATGGCTAAAATTTTTTCAATCAGTTTTGTGGACAGTAAAAATCGCAAAAAATAACTTTTCTTCACTATGTTGTTAAAAATATACACCCAATAGAAGTTTATACTGTATTTTGGACCATTTTTGCTGTCCCCACATATTGAAAGAGTATAAATGATGGAAAATTTAGTGATATATTTGAGTGTTTACGGTAACTGATGCACATCTGTCTAGAAACCGGTCTTCCCCTGAAACTTTCAAGGGAATAAATAACACGCCAACGTCGACAAACAACTGTTTTCAAAGACTTTTAGCTCTGTATATTGAACTGTGGCTCGTATCACGTGATCCGTTGCGATTTTTGTTATCCGAAAGATAATTCGTTTCTAAAAACCGTAAACCGCGTTGTAAGAAAATTACCGCATTTTTTCAACTGCGTTGTAGGAGGCCTACCTGTATTCTGTTTGTGCTATGTACTTTTGATTATTGTATCTCCTATGTAATATCTGGACTGTTGCGTCAGTCTAGTAATTGTGATTGTTACCATTATTCGGTTCCCAGACGTCCTCATGTGATCCCTTTTCCTTTCTTCTCCATTCCTCTCCTCCTCCCCTTCCCTGGGCTATAGGTATTGGTAAGGCTGTCTCTTTCACAACTGTCAGCTGTCTGTACCCCCTTTGCTATACACACTGGCAAACTTGTCACGTTTGTTTTTATACTGTTTCACTGAACATATTTTGTCTTGTCACTGTATTTTTACTTGTTCAACAATTATGATGCAGAAGCTCAATGATCCCGACACTTCCCTATTTTCTATCCCTCCCTACTATCACTTCCTCTTCTAATTTCAATTTCATCACTTCTAATTTCTTACAGGTAACGTCTGTGCACATACAGACCACCTCTCTACTCTTTTAATGTAATGAAAATGTGTTGTTCTTACCTTGGCAGAAAAAGTTGAGATTATCAATGCATTGTAAAGGGGAGAATCCACTTATCCAAATCATCAGCAGAATGAATCAATTCAAATAATTGGAGTTCTACTGTATCACCATTGTCTTTATATTCACACAAGAAAGTTTTATTCAATTCCAATACTGCCTTCTAGGTGTGTGTCTTTCAATGAGTATATATTATGTGATGAAACACTCAATCTCTTCCATCTAGTTGATAAGAATGAGTTAACGTAGGTGTACTCTAGGAATGAGATATTGGTTGAAATTTACTGAACTGCCAGTTAACTTACTCAAATGTTGAATATCACAAAAATTTAATTGAAAATACTTATCTACATGAGCTCTATTTTTCTTTAAAATTAAGAAAAACTAAGAAACATTTATTGCTTGGAATCTAAAATGAATATTTATTCGTTCAAAATATACAAGAGCAAGCATCTTCAGCAAACTTCAATTGTTTTAAAAAAAGAATAGTCTGAAAACAGTTTTTTGAAAAATTCTTTGTAAAATCAAATTTGGACCAGCCTAAACAAAAACAATAGCTACACCAATCTCAAATTATAATTAACAATTTCTTTTAATTTGAAAGAAAATATGCATCATATACAGTACATATTGGTTATCTTACACTTCATATACAGGATTTTATATATTAAGGAATACATTGTTTCTTAAATATTTGGCAGACCGTAATCACCCCTTGCCTGTTTTTCCCTTGCTTCCATCCAAGTTTTTGCTATTGTCTTTTTCATTTCGTCATCACCTTCATCATACATCTTTTTCATCAGATTCATCAAACTCTGTCCTGGATCTTCATTCTCATCCATATCTGGCATTCTGAAATAATTTTTTTAACATGTTATAACATTTTTTAAAAACTTAACGAATATAAGAGAGCAATATCTCTTCACAGTTTTAAATAATTTAAAGAAATTTCAAATCTTTTTTATAAAATATTTTCTGCCTGTAAATTGTTTCTAGTTTTATTGTGGGTTTGGCTAGGCCCACATTGAGATAACTAGTGATGAGGATGTGGCCCACATATCCAGGATAGATCACTCCCCAAAAACTTCCTGGGGCTTTTTGACTGCTTGAATTTAATCCCATATTTCCTATAGCAGCAGTGAGAGTTTGAGTCTGGAACCTTGCCTCAGAAATCTTTTACGTGTGGTCGGTCCTGAATATATCAGACCCTGTCCCTCATCATTCAGCTATACCTATTAGGGGCTACAAAAAAAGCTATCTTCGTGCCCATAGGATAGTGTGTTAAAGGAAAAAACTATCACACACAAAAAAAGTTTAAGTTCATTTGTCAGAATTAGAAATTCTCTTTAAAAATTTATATTAAAACAGAAAATTATTTTAATTTTATTTTCTTTCTTAACCAAGCAGTAATTTATTAATTAAAAATTGCCTATAACTTTATTGAATATACACAATTATTTACACTAATGAGAGATTATCTTTACTGTAGCTTCTAAAATTGGAACAAAATTTCAATGCAGTTGATCAAAGTTATAAAAAAATAAAGCATTTACTTTGTTTCGTTAGACTTCCTTTCAGCTTCGGTTATATACTGCCAATTAGACGAGAATTCTTTTTTCAAAAATATTACAACCATATCTGTTTTTGCCTGGAAAATATTATATAATTTCATTTCCTTAAGATAATTTTTCTTTATTTTAATAAACTTTTTCTCGAATAAATCTAAATACATACCTTAAAATAACTTTTATCAGGCATAATTTTTCCCATTAGATTATTAATAGTAAATGTATGATTCTTATTATCCAAATCATAAACATGAAGTTCAACTGATCTGAAACAGTAAAAAATAAAAATCTTATTTAAAAATATCAATTATTGTACTGAAAATCAGAATGAGTTTTTACACATCAGCCAACAATATGTTACTTAAAACAATTTGGAAATAAATAATAGATCACATCTTATAATTCCTTATTAAATAATATTAGATTGAAGAATTAAACACTTCAAGAGTATGTATGCGCACACAGTCATGCAGAAAACAAAAATATAATCATGAAAAATGCTATGTAATTTTGAACTTACTTGTAACATACATAGAACACATGAACTATTTGGATTTTAAATTAAATGTAAGTTAATATACAGGGATGGAAAACCTTTTTGAGTCCATGTACCAAAGTTTTAGACTTCAAATAACAATATTCAAAGAAATGAATACACTTTAATTAGAATAAATGCATTTGTAGATGATTGAAAAAGAATGATCAGGTATAAACTAAAATCATTTGATATATTACATGCCAGATGATTTCTCTGATAAGCTACTTTGGGCACATGTGTCGTAGCTTTTCCAACCCTGAATTAGGCCAATTTAATTAACAACTAATTGGAAGAGATTCTTCCAATTGGTTGTTAAATTGTTGATAGGCCATTAAATCAAATGTCTATCAATAATGAGCTTTTAATGTACAGGGTTTATTAAAATGTTGTTATAATATATGAGTATAAATAAATTAATAATAATTTATGAGTAATTTAAACATCCCGTAACATCTGTTAATTAATTAAAGATATAAAAATAAATTTACAACAAATTGTTTTAATTTGGTTTCTGTTGTAAATCTATTTTAATTAAACACATCAAAAAACTATATAATGTAAGTAATTGTTTTACTAATGCTGGCTTGTAACTCTCGGCATGCTCTATTCGTGAATAAAAAAAATTAAAATTACTTGTCGTACAGGAAAAATTTAATCTATTAAATCTGGGCCTAGTATAAAGCATTACACTTTTCTTTTTTAATGATGCTCTTTACAATAATTTCAATACAAATATCCAGATTTAAAGACAATGAAAATATTCTACTAAGCAAATTAAATTTGCCCTATAGTATATTTTTAATCATATACAATGCATTTTATATGCAAGATAAAACGTAATCCAGTTTCATTACGCTGATCTGACTTTCACGCATTGTAAAAGCATTGAAAATATAGACCCAATAAGACATTGAATTTTTACCATTTATTCCATGATCCCAGAACTTGAGCATTGAAGTATCTGTCACAGTACTGAAGTATTTGAATGATGATATTTACATTATTATTATTTTTGTATAAAATCCTAATTAAATAAATATTAAAATTAATAGGAATTTACATTTAAAATATTCCAGACAAGTTAGTTTTATAATCTTTTTAATCAAATAATTTTTTTATCAGCAGGTAGAACGAAGGATAGCTTGGCAAAAAGAAAAACATGCAACATCGTAAAATAACTTAGTTTTAAATAGAACTTTTTTTTTATAAACACGCACATACAAACACATTCATATTGAAGGACATACTGTAGGTTATTGAAAATGTTTATATTTGCATCACTGACTATCCACGGTCAAGCATTTGTCTGGTTTGTCAACAACCGTAATCCCATTATAAAATGGATTTATTACAAGGAGTATCATAAAATGAACTGATCAATGACAGTTAATATACAATATATTTTCAAAATTTTATTTACAATTTATTTGCATACATTAAATCTAATAAGTTCCAAGTATGAACAATTAGTAGTTACTATATGCATGTTTAATATAGCATAACTTTTAACAGAATCTTGCACAAGCAAGATCCTAAATTAAATTATGCTGAATTACTGAAAAAATATTTTTTTAATACATATATATTATTTTATAAGAATTAAAACATATTTTAATATATTTAAGTGTATATATAACCAAATTGAATTAAAATTTAACAGTAATTTTTCAATAAGTTCAATAGTTTCATTATACTTAATTATGAAATTTTACTTTAAAAAATTATACAAAAAAAAACACAGTATGAAAATAATGAAAATCTTACTTGGTTGTGAAATTTGTTTTGATGTTCTCTGATGGTAATTTTTGAACGTTCTTCAAAGTAACATATAATTTTACAAATTTATCCGACTGGTCCCAACCTATAAATATTACAAATAAATTTTATTAAAACCAATAATAATATTCAGTTTAAAAACTTAAAAGTTTTAATAATTTCTTGATCAAATACAAATTAATAACATTTACAACAGATTTTTGAAATTTTAACAAAATTACACAGAATTAACTGTTTGCATATATTAAAGCCGATAAGTTCATAATTTGAACAGTCAGTAGTTACGATATGATTATTTAATGTTGCATAACAATCAACAGAATTCTGCAAAAGCTAGATTCTGTATTTATATTATGCTAAAATATAGATTAGCAAATTAAATAAAATATCTTATTATGATAAAGTATAATCTGCTTATTGTAATCATGGATATTATTAATAATTTAACTTAAAATACACTTGGAGAAGTTTGAGATATACAGGACTTCTGTAAAGAAACACACTATCAACCACAAGGACACAGTCGTTTCCCCCAGCTTGGAAGTTTTATGTTCACCAACAACTAGCTGATGACATTCCATTTGATGCAAATTCTACATTGTCATCTGTATCCACCAATAGCCAAGTGCTACACCTACTAAGCAGCACGTGCAATTGTAAATGAAGAACTTAAATACGTAGAGTGGATGTCACGCCAACAATTTTACTGATTCGAGAGAAAAATACACTTAAAGAGACATTAAAAAACATTTTAAGAAATGTTTTCATATTCTGTGAGCGCTTTCGACATATTTATAAACATCACCTTCAGGCAGAACCGGAATCAAATAGATTTTCGAACAAGTTTTTAAATTTGAACAAAAACGGCATTAGCCGCTTAGAACATAACAAGTTTAAGTTTAAAGATAAAGTATTAGATTTAAAACACGCGTAACAGCGTCATGCATGCACTAGAGAACAATAATGGCATGAGGTGTTTAGAACATAACACCATCGTGCATGCATCTTAAAGCACAGAAATCAGGAACGGCAATTAGCTGTTTTTAAAAAAGGTTTAAAAATAATAAAACATCATTGTGCAATGCACCTTACTGTGCAGAGAAGCTAGGGGTATAGAAACAGAGCTAATGCAGGTGTTTTAGTTGTTTGTATAGGCTGATCCAAATCCCGGGCAACTCAAGGGTGGGAGAGTTGCAAAGAGACGACAGTGTGGTGAAGAGGGCCTCGTGTAACGACAGGGATGCAGTTTCAATCCTAGAAAAGTTGGGCGTATATTCTATTCTGTTGGAAAACCCAATCTCTGGGGCACACATCCATTATATAGGGACGACCTCCAGGATGCTATCCAGCCGCTTATCAGAGCACCAACATTCTGTCGCAGGGGGCAGCTGTGACACCGAACTGTCCAAGATGATTGTACAGCACCACCACATCCGACTTTGGGACTCTGTGGTGATGCTCAGGTGCGGTGAGGAATGGAATTTGGTGTACATTTCGGAGGCCCTCTTCACCACACTGTCGTCTCCTTGCAACTTTCCCACCCTTCAGTTGCCCGGGATTTGGATCAGCCTATACAAACAACTAAAACACCTGCATTAGCTTCGTTTCTATACCCTTACCTTCTCTGCACAGTAAGGTGCATCACGACAATGTTTTATTATTTTTAAACCTTTTTTAAAAACAGCTAATTGCCGTTCCTGATTTCTGTGCTTTAAGATGCATGTGGATGATATTATGCATATTTTAAATCTAATACTTTATTTTTTAACTTATGTTCTAAGCAGCTAATGCCGTTTTTGTTCTAATTTAAAAACTTGTTTGAAAACCTATTTGATTCCAGTTCTGCCTGATGATGATGTTTATAAATACGTTGAACACGCTCGCAGGATATTAAAATGTTTCTTCAAATGTCCTTTTATGCCTCTTTATGTGAATTTTTCTCTTGAAAATGAAGAATTTTCTTGTAGAATTTCATTATTCCACTTGAAGATGTTTACCTGAAGAAGTAGATGAAAACATTCGTGCAAGTGTTTATTTGCTGGATTTTGCTGACTTTTTGAGTAGTTTTTGTTACTTAAAAAACTTTGCTTATTGTAATAAAAGTTAACATTCAAATTCTTTAAAAATATTCAAAGCATGTCATTTTTGAATATATGAAATCAATTTTAAAAGAAATTATTTATGGAAAAGTTTAAATTTATGTAAACTGTTTAAGAAACTCACTAAGTGTACAATTGTTTTAAATTCAGAAATTTATATTTCTTACCATAATTCACAATTTTGACATTGCACAGTTGCTTAGATCTTTTTTCAGATTCTGGAGAAGTTGTAGCTAAAAGCATTTCTTTTTTCTTTATGTCATTTTGTAATGTTTGTATTTGATTACAGAGAAAATCTTTAACATAAGTTCTTTTTGCTTGCTGACTAAGTATTTCAAGTTCTTCCAAATCTTTTTTCATCTAATATTTTGAAAAGAAAAAAAAATTATTGTTTATGATTAAAAATTAATTAAAATTTGTAAAATTTATAGTTTTATTTAACACTTGAAAATAATCTCAAACAATTCCAAACTGCTTTCTTTTGAAGAACAGGAAAAAAACTTAGTACTTTCATGCTAAATAAATCACTTTATGAAGAAGCTAAAAAAATTAAATTAATACCAGTAATATTCAGGTTGTACTTTTATATAGGTAGCACTCAAGGATTGCTGGGTATTAGGTAACAAAGATATGAAGAAAAAGAGGAACTATGACACTAGCAGAGGAAAGCCAGGTAAAACGGTAACAGGTTTATATATTGCAAGAAATCAGAGAAAAAGAAAACACAGCCGATGCAGACATATTTTGGATTTTTGAAGGTTATACAAACATGTACTTAATATCAAAAATGTATAAATCCTTCCTAACATTGTGGAATTGGTGTCTATGACATAAGAATATCAGCAGATGATAAGTATAGAATGCACAGTGGTTGTTATTAGGGTTTCTCAAACGAGATCCCGATTGTTTTTTTAACCCGGGAAATTCTTCTCATTCTGGGAAATCCCTCAAATTTATTAAAAGTTCACTTGTTTCTTATTTTGTGTTAAGGTTGAGGAAATTTTGCAAATAGAAAGTATAATTAACACATAAACTGTCAGAATACATTTGTATTTATTAATTTTAAAACTACTTATTAGTTTTTAAAATTTTTGTTCATTATGGCATGTCACAAATGGTCAATAATCAGTACGTAGCTTATTTGTGGCAGGACTCTGAAAATTCTTTACTTGTCAGAACCCGTAATATCCGGAACAACTGTGCTTATGCTGTCTTAATTTTTAACCATGCCCGGTAGCTTCGATAACTGCGTAACGTCAGATTGTGCAAATTGGGCAAGAATACAAACGAGTACGAAGTCTGCAAGTATGAAGTTTTTCTTCATAAACCTGATTATTAAAGCCAAACGAACTGCCAAATTATCGGGCTATAAGCTCCATGCCCCTATTAAAGCAGACGAGGTAAACAAATCAAGAATACTAGAGAGCAAGAGAAGTACTACAATCTTGAAGATGAACTCGAAATCTTCCAGGCTACAAGTGAAAAAAACATATAACACCTGTTTTCTCTTAAATGCATTAAAGACAATTCAGCCCACATGAATTGAATCGAAAAGGGTATACTCGGTAGCAGAACTTTTCATTACTAAAATAAGAATCAGATTGACTGTCAAAGTATTGACCATCTTTGCTTTTTAAAATCTTATTATAAAAATTTACAATAATATTTTGTATTATGTTTTATTTAAAAAATGAAAATTACCTCTTAAGTTAGAAGTTTGATCTAAGTTCATTTTTTAAAAATTTTCAACTCAATTCAAAGCATTTTGTTGTTGTTGTATGCAGTTTCCAGCAAACTTTAATAAATTTTTTCTATTTGTGAAAATTTCTACATAATTCAAAGGTAATTTTTAATATACATCTTATTATAATGCTGTATAAGATTATTATACAGCATTATTAATATGATTTTGGAGGTTGCAGAACATATTAAATTACTTTAAAAAATGAAAAATAATTATATCATTTGATTTCATGATATTTTGTATATCTTTAAAATAATTAATTCTATCCCAGGAAATCCCGGGATCCTGGAAAACAGTTCACTTTTATTCCAGAATCCCGGGACAAGCAAAAGACCGGGAAATGAGAAACCCTAGTTGTTATGTAGGAACTCTTCACTAAACTCTCTGGCATTTTATGGATGTGTTAGTTTAATTTTTTTTGTGCTGCCTCTGAAGCATGAGCTGTTTAGCTTGAAAGTACTAAATAAAGCATTTTTTGAATTTTTCTATACTCCTAAAAGCAGTAAGAAATTATTTGTTTGCAAATTCATAAGAATTTTGTGTTTAAATTATTATTATTGATAATAAATGCACATAATACTTCATAAAATTTTTAAAATCCTTTGCAAATCTGAATACAATTTGTCCTCAACTAACATTTTTAGATCATTCTGGCACTTTAGACACAAGTCAATTTTAATGTAACTCAAAGCAATTTTTTTTAATACACTTTGTACACAATCATGAGGAATTGCTGGAAAGTTTAAGTCAGTTTTATGCTTATATATGATTTTCGTTTGATATCCAAATCAATCACCTCACATGGCAAGGCTCTTCCTTTCTTTCATTTGATCATTTTACACCAGTCATACTTATTAGCATTCAAAAATAATTAACAAAAACATTCACAGAGTTATTCTTTGATTAGTTTGTTTCAATGCAAAGTATTTGTTTGCCTAATATATCATATCGAGTTTCTTACATAAAATACTACTTATGAACGGAGAGCTATCTAGTCACAATTTTCCAATAGCACAAAAATTAAAATACAAATGTAACTTAAATAATTCATATTTTACTAATTTAATGCAAATTACAATACCATAATTACTATTAAATAATTGAAAATATGAAAAATTAAGTAATAATTAACAGCATCATCTATTAGAAAAAACAAGACAAAGAGTTTTAAACAATCAACATGTGAAGTACAATAAAAATCAGGGTCTGTCTGCTTGTATCTGACTAAGTTTAATCTAATGATGACTTGAATTAATTTTTTCAACATACAAATACTATAAATAAAAAAAGAAACCACCATTTGATCAATGTTTAAAAAAATAATGGATTTTATTCAGTCATATAATAAACTTGCATGAACACAAATTTCAAAATAAAACACAGTTCAATTTACAATGGTAAAAAACAATCAATCAAAATTTATTAAGGTATTTAATTTATGTATTAGAAAGTCTCAAATCACATTTAAAAGATTTATCCGCATTGAAATTATATTTAGATTAGATATTTGAAATCAAGATTTAAAAAAATCATTGAATTTGAATAGAACGGAGTTCGATAACCACTGTGGTTTAAATATTAGAACAAATTATATACATACAGTAGACCCCCTATAACGCGATAGATACGTTCCGTGTTGTACAAGTCACTTAAATACATGAGCCAATCACAGCCCGGCACGTGGTGCAGTTTAGCGACTACAGCTGTTTGAAAGGTTTTCTTCCATAAAATTAATCGATTCTAGACTAATTTGACCCAACATTTCCAAATCACATATAATTTTTTAGGAATAATCCATATAAACTATGCTATAAACAAAAAATTGTAGGATTACTTACCGAGTGTGCACCGTTCGAAGATGCCATTGCTTAAGCTTGTTTCCGTCGCGGAGTGGCTCATCGAACGGCAGGTGCATGTTTCCTGATAAGTTATTTTTCTGCAAAAAATTTGCTGAACTTTGGAGACATCATTAATATAAATATAAGTTTTATGGATGTTAAATAATAAATGGTTTTTAGTAGGTCCACTGCTCGTTTAAACTCAATGGTTTGTGCAATGTCCGCTATTGGTCCAGACATGAGTTGGCTATGACAATCTGTCTCATTCTTTTACAGTGTTATATGAGCCTCTTTTAGCGTGTTATATGAACACGGTTGCAATTTTTCCGTCGTGTTATACGAATCTGTCTTATATGAACCAGAGTTATAGGGGGTCTACTGTATATATATTTAGCCTTATAATAAATAGGGTTGGCATCAAGAAGGGCATCCAGCTGTGAAACCTATGCCAAAACTACATGGAATGTCTGCTAGACTACAAGTGAGTTATAACTGTGTTAGGACGTCCCCTTGATGCAACATGCAGTCATGTCACCTGAAAACTATGTCAAATGAGCTGGGCTACTGAACCAAGGACAGGTTCAGATAAAATAGTTAGTCCAGAAAGAGAAGAGGAAAAAGACAAGAATAGGTACTTTAAACATTGGAACATTGAATGGGAAGAGTAGAGAGTTGGTTGATATTATGCAAAGAAGGAGAGTGAACATTTTGTGCATGCAAGAGACAAGATGGAAAAGAAATAAAGCTAAAGAACTTCGTGAAGGATATAAGCTGTAAGTGGAGTGAATAAGGGAGGAAGGAATGGGGTTGATATTGTAATTGATAAAGTTTTAAAAGACAGAATCTGTGAGGTTAAACGAAGGTGTGATACAATTATGAGCGTTAAGTTGGACATTGCTGGAATTTTCATTACAATTGTGTGCGTGTGTGTTCCTCAGCCACGTAGTGGACAAGAAAAAAGAAACTTTCAGTCAGATCTTGACCAAGTTATAATGTGTGTTCCCATGAACAAGAGATTAATCTGTGGGGGTGATTTAAATGGTCATGTTGGTTACAGGAAGAATGCAAAAAGAAGAGTTCTTGTGAGGTGGAGTGTGGGAGAAAGGAATGTAGAGGGAGAAAGACTAGTCAATCATGCTGTGGCTTTTGACCTTGCACTAGTTAATTAATTAACACTTACTTTGAGAAAAAAGCAAATCAACTGGTTACATACATGAGTGGAGGTAGATTTAGCCAGATTAATTTTTCTTGTGCCGCAGGAGTCATCTGAGTGAAGTGAGAAACAGTAAGGCGTTAAATGGAGAAAGTGTTGCTGCACAACATATGTAAGGAACCAAGTCCGAGCGTTATTTTTAGTTACTTTTATTTTTGCTTTTTATTATATTTTTGTTTGGGGCTTATGTTTTGTTAGGACGAAGGTTTCCTCACCATTCACCTTAGAAACTTAAAAATAGAAGAGAAACCAACTCACTGACGAGAGAAAAGCGCCATAGTTAAAACTCGCGCTCCCGAGCGGAAAAAAAGTAAGTACGCACCCGAGCGGAAAAAAAGTAAGACCCCACAAGCCTAACTTAAGACCTTGCTAAACCTTAAAGAATAAAAACATCCCGAAAATTGTCAAAAAGAATAATGTAAAAGGTTAGCGAGTATTGTTGGAAAATAGGCTGCCAGACAAACAAGAAAAATTTATTGTTAGCGATAAGTATGTAAATGAGGGGAGTGATCGCACTCAGAATTGTGATGTCATCTCACAGTATAAAGACTGAACCTCAAGTGAA